TGCTACTTGCAAAAACAAGCACAGCAGAGGGACTATAGGCATGAAAGACTGATCCACGGTTTGTGAAAAATCGTGTTTCTCTATTTCTATCTGGAACACTTTAAGGGTGCACCTTTAGCCAAGATGCAGTAGTTAACCACAAAAGGAACCTTGGCCCAATTTGGTACCAGTAAAACCACTTGCTCAACCCTGGAAAGCAACACCTTCAAATAAAGGATTCTATGTTCCCCATGAAGAGACAGAAACCTAATACAAAAAGCCCTCAATCTAAGAAGGAGTTTGCTGTAGGGAAGCCAGTGTATGCCCAGCAGTCAAAGTTTCAAGAAAGCTGTGGCCTCTCTATGTCCCCCTCCTAGATTGTGACTGCAGCCAGTGAGCAGCACAAGTAAAACCAAATGGTGTAGCAGAGCATATTGCCAGGGACATGCTAGTCTCCTGACACTGTGGACAGCCAGCAAGTCCCAAGATCCCTAAGCCAGGGCACCCTGATGAGCAGAGACCTTCCTTATGGTGATACCTCAGTACTACGTGCCACATCCCAGCTAAGGAGCAAAGAGCAGCCTCCCTTGCCAGAGATCCCTTTAGGTCCTGATAAAGTTGCACTAGCCATAATCGCTTTGTTTTACGTATTCCATGTAATATAATACTGGAAATTGGTCTGCAGTTATGTAATTGCAAAGGAAATGGCTATGGTCCTGCTCAGCTGAAAACGCCGTCCCACAGTGCTCCCACCGCAGACACGGCTCTCAGGGGCTGCAAGGGAAGAGCACCCGTCCTGCCTGTGAGCAGAGCAGCAGCGGAGGCAGAGGTGCTCGGGACTGTGCTTATACTTCACCATCTGTCAGGTTTTCCATTGCAAACACTGCTGCCACAGTTTATAGCTTGACCATTTCCAGCCACATCCATGCAAAACTTGGCAGAGAGGGAGCTGCTCTGGCCCAATCCCTCCCCCTTCTACCTTAAAGAAATCTGTGTCGGATTCCTGCTTTAAAGACTCAACATTTCTTTTCTGCAGCAGAAATACATTTTTAAGCCATTCCACAAGGCTCTTTTTGGTTAAGGTTTAAAAGAAGCCTGTGTATTTGACAGACAAGACTTGTCAACTAAATTTGTCAAAACCAATGTCAGCTATTCACATTGTTATTCTCAAACAGCTCAGAAATGTTTAGATAGTGTTGGACAGTGCAGGTTGGTTACACAGTACCTTTAAAGAAATCACAGTCACTTCTAGCAAGGAAAACAAGCTCTGTAACTACAACCTGTTCCCAGACACCATCTGTAGAGAATGTAAACCTCTGTTTTTCTCTGGATGCATTTGTGATCATTGCTACATGCAGATTTTCCTCCTCAGCTGTGGAAAAGAGATAAATATCCATCAGATACAGCAGGCACACTGTGGGTCGTTTGCTCCTGGAAATTAAGGTCTGAAGGACAATTTTTGTTTAGCCAAGAGAGGTATTTGCTGCAAAACCAAGTGCCACATTCTAAGAGCTAGTACATTACTGAATAATTTGTTCCTTAGTATAAAAATCCTACAGATTTTTCAGTCTGGCAATGTTTGCTTCCGTGGCAATTGTAGCAAGCCAGGTTATGGTGACCCATGGGCTTCATAACCGAGACGAAGGTTTTCAGCAATTATTCACCACATATGCTACAACGACCTTGCTTTTAAGTCATAATACTGAACAGAAGTTTCAGCTTCAAATGGTGCCCAAGTCGTTAATTTTATTGGCACAATAATGAAGATAACTTTATCCAAATCTTTTAGTGAAAGAAAACCAAGTATGAGACAAGGCCCTTCCAAGTGGGCTGGCACATGTCTGCCTATGAGACATCTTAAATACCATCACTTATATAAGAAAAGTAACAGTGAATACTACTATACAGTAAATGCAACAACTTAAGTTAACATAGCTTGATGATAACCAGGTAAGACTTCAATAAACCACATACCAAATTCCCTCCCCTCCCCGTCCTATACACTGGCTTTGAAAGCAGAGCTTACTTCCTTTCAGGTATGTACACAACTCAGAGGCAAACATCAGAGGAGATGGTAAATCCAGCTCAGGCCCTATAAGTGTTCAGAAGAAAACATCCAGCAGGACATGAAACAGGCACCATTGTTCTGAAACTAGGTTTGAGCTTCCTGTGTGAAAAGCATAGGGCCATTTGACAAGTAAGAG